TATCAAAAATAGGATTTTAGAGCTCAAAAATAGCATTTTCAAACAAATTTTCGGATCAGAACTTCGGGGGATCGATCCAGCCCTCTGGATCGATCCATGATATGAAAAATTACACCCAGGTGATCGATCCACCCATTTGGATCGATCCAGACAGCCTGGTTTTTGGTTACTGTTCATCTTCTTCTTCGTTCGGGTCCAATTTCGAAAATACCGTTTTTAGTTATCGAATTTCAACGAAACTATATAGAGATGTTCTCCAAGGTTCATAGATCATTTTGGCATCATTAATTCATAGTTTTAACATCAATTTAATGGTTTATGATTCTTGGTTCTGTAAGCATATCAAACACAAAACTCAACCAAACGACCGTTTATGAACGTAGAAACGATCTATACGAACATTCTAGTCACTAGATATATCAACGGGCTTACCTCGAAGCGTAATGGAGGTTTTGACGATATTCCGGCGAAACTTCCGGCGAGATTTGTGGCTAGCTCCGGCGACCTCCAACTCTCTGGACAGCACCACTCTACTCTCCACACTCTCAGGGACAAAATGGAAGAAGAAATAGAGAGAATGGTGAAGAAATGGAGAATTGGGTTCTTTATATAGAAGGGAAGAAGAGAAGAAGACAGGGAAGATGAGCTGCTGCTGCGTAGGATTCCCAATTCACGTTCTCATTCGGCGGAGATGTGATTTCTAGGAGATTCTGCACGTTACTTCTCTGATTGGGACTAATTCGGTCCCAATCGAGGTACACTTTTTGGTCCAACTTTCTCCGAATTGAAATCCGTTTGCACCGTTGCGATCGTACAATTAAACTCTATCCAATGATATACTTTTTACATTTATTTGTTATACTTTTTCTGACATCATATTTTTGGGTGGTTGATTTTGACAAAGTCAAAATTGGTTTAATTGACTTTTATTCAAAAAGGTTCTCACATTTAATTCATATTATTTATTTCCATGATTTATTTTAATAAATCATTTCAAAGTTCACATTATAAACAATTTCTTCATTTATTCTTAATTTGGGTCTGTACTCAGGTTCCCAATCAAGATCACATAATAAGTCAACATGTTGGATTTATCTTTATGAGATTTATCCCAATTATGTTTATTGGATATAAATATATATTTTATTTCGGTCCAAAGCCCGGCAACAATTTATTTTAATAAAAAATAATTTGATTAATTTATTATTTATTTATTAATAATTCTAGGGTATGTTTTGGGGCATTACAATAAAATTTTTAAATTAATGAAATTAGTTTTCAAACTTTAAAATATACTCCGTATTAAAATGATGAAAATATAATACAAAAAATATTTTTAAAGTTAGAAAGTAGAAGTCTATAAACTGAAGGGATTTATAAAGTATAATAAAAATAGTGATTATTTAATATAAAAATTAATACGCACGCATGGCACATGGCATGTGATACACATGTGGCATGACACATGGTACAAATGTACACGTGCCACGTGACACATGTCGTTACCGCATTTAAGCCGCTCAACTTTATAGGTATATACTAGTGTTTTTCCCGTGCTTCGCACGGGCTCATATATTCTTAGATAAAATATATCTATAAATTTTATATTTCATTTTTAAAAAATGTAAAAATAAAAATAAATTAGAATATGTATTGAAGACGATATGCTATACTGCACTACCAATATATAAAACATGTAAATATATTTTATATACGCGTGTACACATGAAAAAATTCTTTTGATATTTCTTGTGTGTGTACATATAAAATTGTAATATTCTTACGTAAAATATATATATAAATTTTATATGCCATTTTAATAAAATGTGAAATTAAAAATAAATTCGTCCTTCATAGGGATGGGCGCGATCCGTGACGGTCTGTGATACTACTAGAACCTATCACGATATATATATATATATATATATATATATATATATATATATATATATATATGAATTTTATATTCCTTTTTTAAAAAATTTGAAATTAAAAATAAATTCGTGCTTCACACGGACTCGTATATTCTTATGTAAAATATAACTACAAATTTTATATTTCATTTTTTAAAATGTGAAATTAAAAATATATTTGAATTTGTATTAAAGTCGATATGCTACTATTGATATATAAAACATGTAAATATATTTTATACATGTGTTCATACATGAAAAAAAAAATCTTCTGACCTACTTATAGCTTACTCTCTAGATTTCTTATTTCAGAGATCTGTTAATATTTCTCGACTAAATGGTTGAACTCATTTCAAACTCGTCTATATCTATTATGTTTTTATACACTTTAACTCACCCAAATATATAATTTTGATTACTAACTTTTAAATATAATTTTTTGTTAGAGTTTGAAAAATTACTTTTTAAAAATTTCAAACTATTTTTATACACAAAAGTTACTAATTTTGAAATAGTCACAAAATATATTTAATAGTTACACAGAAAATAAGTTATCAATGTATCCAAAATATAATAAGATAAATATTCAAACTTAAATACATTTGTGAATTGAATAAAATCATGAACATGTCAACTTAAATTAATAATTTTAAAATCAATCATGCACTAAATCAATCCCTACTTGGTATTTTTAAATGATAACATGCATATATTGAAATAAAAAACAATTATTCTAAACTTCTCTAAAATTAAATATACTCTGTATTTTCTATCGCATATATCTAAAAAATATTTATAATAATATAAAAGCAAATTATGTCTAAACATATATTTTAAAAATATTATACTTAGAAAGTAAAAAGAAATAAAACTAAGTACACATTTTTTTATTTTTGTGAACATGAACCTTCAATTATATTCAAGCGGTTTTACATTTTTTATATTTAACATCAATAATTAAGTAGCCATGTGGTATCCAAGTGGACAAATGAAAAGGTGACACCTTTAAAGTATAGATTATGAGGTGTGACACATGGCGCAACCACATTTAATCCGCTCTACTTTATATGATACATATGATATGATGATATGATATGATGATATATGATGATATGATATTGGATCAAAAGTGACATTAATAACAATTTTATTTTAAAAAAAGAATAAAAAATAAAAAAATAGGCCAATTCCTTGAAGTTGGATGGTCACATGTTTAGTTAACTCACCCATCAAATGAAGTGGGATTTAAATTGGAGTTCTAATTGATTTCTACATAGGAAATAACAAATATTTGGGACAAGCATTGTACATGAGCTTAGAGCTCTATGTTTGTAATTAATTATTGGTACTTTTTCATGTTTTTGAGCTCTTCTCGACTTCAGCAAGCATCTTCAAAATTTCTTCTTTTTTAGCCACCAAAACTTGCATCTTGGAATCAATCTTTTCTAATTTTTGCTTCAATGTTGTTGGATCTTTTTTGCCTTGTGAATTCTTCTCCATTTTCCCATCCTTCTTATCTTTATCGCCTTTGCCTTTCTTCTTCGTTTCTTTATCACCACTTTTTTCTCCTTTCTCACCTTCATCTTCTTGCTTTTGTTTTTTCTCTTCCTTGTGTTTTGTCTCCTCTTCAACTTTTGGTTGATTGTCATGCTTCTCTATTGTGTCTACTTTCTCTTCCATCGCAAATCTCAACAAGACAACTCCTTAGAGAAAAAAGGAATAAACTATACAATTAATACAAAAAGGATGAAAATTGAGAGAAAATTATTGATTTCATATCATTACAATGATAATTCACAAAATGCAGTACATCTATAAGGAGAGGGGATAAAGTATAAGCACACCTGAGTTATTGATGCAGAATGATGAATATTTTTAATTTGAATTAGACTGCTCTAATACAACTCCCTATTTCTAGACAATTTATAAAACAATAAAGAAATGGAGATAAACAAACTAAGAAATGAAAGGCTAGAAAGCTGTTTTGTTAACTACCATTCAATTTCAATCCATGAGTCTAGCTATTGATGATCCTAGCCCCATCCATTGAATAGCTACGTTGGAAGCCACTCATCCTGTTTATGCAAAATATTTTATTTTCCACTTACCTTTTGAAATTTAATAATTTCTACAATATCTTAATTTTACTTATTTCATAAAAACAAAGTATGATTATTTCTTTTTCAACCCAACTACATTAAAAAGCTTTAAGTTATCACATTACTTTTATTGCTAGAAAATAACATTTTCATTCACATTTAGTTGTCCACTTTGCCTCTTTTGTATCTAGAAATTTCTCTATTTATATTTGCTTTATGAGATACGTACGATTACAAGGCACTAATGTGCTTAATAATATATGTATAGAAAAAAATTGTTATTTCGAACTTACAATTTATTTGAAACACTACTATTTATAATAATACGAAGTAATATGTTTCTAGAAAAATAGAATACAATATTAAAAATAGAGAGATATAAAAACAAAAATGTTCACCAAAGATTTGTGAAAGTGAACAGGTGGAACTGCATAGAACGTCAAAGATGACAATTAAATCACGAGGACCATCTAAACTTCTTGGTGAGAGAACACATGATCACGTTGTTGGGAAACCACTCTTGGATAGGGCATCGGAAAACAACATTTTTAAGTACAAACATCGATTCCACCCAAGATCCCTTATGAAGATTATAAGTTATAGTTAGAATTATACCTTTCTTCGCAAGCAAGCAACGATATATGGTTGATGGGATTGGTCAAAGAGCTAGCTACGAAAGTATCTAACCTCTAATTTGTACACACGAACTATGAAAAGTGTTCAAGAGAAAAATCATGCTAGTAATTTTTCTCTAGAATATTTCTAAAATATACAATATTTGGAGTAAAGTATTAAGAGAATAAAAAAAATTCCTCTCTTAATTTGGACTACTGAGGGTAGAAAATCACACACTAAAAGGGGAGGGATGATCTCGTATTTATAAGGAGCATATTCCTATTCCCATTTGATGGACAAGAAATCCACCAAATGATCCGATTCAAAAAAGCGGATCGAAAGAAATTATAATGAACAAGAACTCGAGAATTATTGGTTTTATTAGCTTGATTTAGCTTGAGGATCTCCATTCGGGTCCTCTCTATTTATACGTGATTTCCTGAGTAATTAAGATAGTTCATAATCAGAGGGGACCACTCTGCCAATGGCGCGATCCACTTTCTTTGGCTACGTTCCCGCCTTCCGCTGAATCTCCTCCTTTGGATTGAACTCTTCCAGCTGTCTTCTTTATTGGATTGACCTGGGTCCAACCGCCGGCGGGTCGGAGCGTTTTCCGGCCAACTCCGGCGAAATTGACGGCGGGCACCAACTCCAATGCGGTCGTGGCATCCGTGCGACCTCCAAGGACCCCTCAATTGCAAGATTTGATGACGATTTGCAAAACCCCCCATTTTGGATCCAATTTCGATTTTAGGGTTTTTTCGAGTAGAAAAATTCAAATTCGAGAAGTTACAGGCAAAATTAGACAAAATGGTTTGGATATTATTGATCCTCGTCTCAAGACGAAGAGAATGACATTGGTCTCGCCGGAATCGGAAAAAGTTCATTTTCCGGCGACTTTGACCGGCGGGCGACGGCGGCGGGGCCTGGAAGAAAAGAAAAGAAGAAATGGGGTCAAATTGAAAATTTTAAAATATATAAAATTCGAATTTGGCCCTAATGACCGGAAGTTAACCTAGAAACGGGCTAATGGCTTATTAGTGAAAGGATTGTGTAAGTTCAGGGATTTTTGTGAAAGGATTTGAAGTTCAGGTACCACTTCGAAATTCCAGCTAAAGTTCAAGTACCATTGGTGAAATTTACCCTTCTTTTTGGGATTAGGATTGTTTATCCCATTACTTTTAGGATTACTATGTTATTAGTAGAAACAACCTCTTGGGTTGGTAAAATCATTCTCATCGTAATGAATGAGACTTAAGCTTTTCAAGTACCATGAGCTTGTTCTCTTCAATTTATTCTTATTACGCACTCCCTCCGTCCCTAAGTGTTTATCCACTTTCATTTTTGCACACCATCCAATGTACTTCTTTAATCCATTTTATCTTGTAATTTGTATATTAAAAAATTATAAAAATTATATATTAATAATCTATATGTTAAGACGAATCAAACAAGATCACACATGACTATTTTTAGGCTTACACATTGAGAGAATTTGATGAGTCAAAGTGCTTAGATGAATAGCTCCAAAAGTCAAAAGTGGACAAACACTCAGGGACGGATCAAGTATTATTTATTCTTATTGGATTCAGATCAAATCAGCCTAGATCAAAACATACTTCAATCAGATCAGGCGAAGAGAACAAGCCTTATGTGATGGTCGATCAATCTAGACCTCAATTTCATCTCGCTGAATCATATCATTCGACCTTCAATTTTTATCTCAATTCTTGAAATTATTGGAAACAGAATTTCACTTCTTTATAAGAGATATAGATATGTAATTAGTGAATAATGCATAAATTCGGAGTGAAGTTGTTCCATGGACAGTTGAACACTCTAACATCCCTATGATCTATATACCTTTTCATTTTCCTTAAAATGCAAAAAAAAAAAAAACAAAAATACCTTCACAGTTTAGATCATTGACTCTTCAAATGGAAGAAGACCCAAAGGGAAAACCAGCAACCGCAATGCCCCCGCCACAAAGGAGCAAACCCCCAGAATCTATTCTTTTGTTGTAAACCACCCGATGAAACCACAAGCTCTCTATGTGTCCTTTCAATTTGTATGCACTTGCATCATCACAATGTGATGCGGCCATTTCGGCATTGATTTCACTTGTGACTGTCTCTCTTTCAAAAAGCTTAATGCATCTCCTAATGTCATCATCCACTTCAGGATGTTTCGGCGATTCGTGCATGAAAGATAACTTACTAATGCCGCAGGATATCTGAAACAGCAATGTCATAAGCATTTAGTATTTCTGAGTTCTGACTTAAAAAGCAGACTATTTGCATGTGTATTTCAATTTCTACTGTGCTTTGTCTATAATTCTATACTCCGTATTTAGCATCTAGCTTGACATGTAACCTCAGTGTAGTAACAACATTTAAAATAAGATATTGAGCATTTGATGTAAGATGCAATCGTTCTACTTTTGAAACCGACACTGTAAATCATAAACTAATAAATGAAGCAAAACAGATAGTGTAAAAGCACCATAAACTTGAGACCAACAATGTAAACGAAAACATGATCATCCACAATGGAAGACGTCTGCCTTCTAGTGAGTTACTATATACAAAATACCAGTCTAGTTTGGTAAGCCTCGTGTATCAAAGGAAAAAGATTATCTTAACACACAAGCAATTTAACGTAAAAACAAAATATATTTAAACTCAAACTTTTTAAATATCTAGCAAAATGACTTGTGGTAGTTCTGTAGTAGCATCAGTTAGATAAATACCTTCGTATTGCGAGAAAAACCTTCCATGCTTTCGTGGGGTTCAACTAGACCCTTGCAGTCTGAGGAGGTTGCTCCAATTGAACTGTGAGGTGGATCTTCAGGTGCTGAGAAGTCAGAACCATCAAAAGTTGATGTTGATACACATTCATCAAAATGATCAAAGTATGCCATTGCTTCTTCAGTAAGGCGTTGCGACATCTTTTTTCTTTCATTGCTCCTCTGTTGCACAGAGAGGTATTAGATAACATTTATAAACAAATCCTCCTTCTGTATTTGAAAGATTGCTCCAAGTGGGTTTTCATGGGTGTTTAGAGTGAAATGCTAGGGGTACTGAATTGAGCATAAATATCGAAAAGTATGGAGAGAAAATGAAAATGTAATAATATTTTTCTTTTAAAGGAGAAATACCTAACCAGGACGCAAAAATGCTCCATATACAAAAATAGGACTTTCAATGTTTTTATACCGGAATAGGACTTAAAAAATTTATAATGCCAAAAAATATTGCGAAATGCCAACACACAATGCAAAATTGTGAGCGTTTCAGTGTCAACACTCCTATTTGGGGCTTGTTCTCTTTGGCTTATTTTGATTACATATTACTTATTTTTATTGAAATCTATTCAGATCACATCATAAAAATTCAGATCATATCAAAAGATTCAAATCAAACCAAATGAGATCATAAACAGCTTTAACTTTAATTGGAATAAGATCAGGGAAAAAAAAGATATCAAATCAGATTAATTTAATAGACCAGAATGATTCAGATCACATAGATTCAGTCATTCAGATCAGACCCTAACTAATTTAGATCCGAATCAATCAGATCAGATGAAGAGAACATACTCTTAGGAGATAAAATATTGGTGGTATTATTTTGGTATAAGTTAGATATTTTAGTCGTATTTAGGTAGATTTCTAAAACAATGGACGATGAAAAAGTAAGAACATTTATGTCATTTTATAGGTAACATTTGTTTAAAAAGGGAAAGTGAAACTAATAAAAAAAACTTCTTTAACAAAGTTGAGCAGCCGTTTCAAATATAGAGTATATTATATACCTATATAAAGCCAATGGAACGCGGTTTTAGCTAAACTTACAAAGTTGAATTAGCTAAACTAACATCTCTATTTCAAGAACACTATGGTTAGTGTAGTGACCTGCCACTTCAATTCTACAGAATAGTATCATTTTCATTCTCATGTTAGGAAAGATCAAAAGTTGTATCACTCAAATGCATTTTCTGATACTGTACTAGTGTAGGACAGCATTTTCTTAATACCAAAACAATATAAACTAGCATAATGGACATTCTCAAGCAAGAGCGCTCAATTTAAGATGGAGAAAAATGAACATGAGATCATTGTAACAGATACTGAAGAAAGAAGTGAAAGGTTCTATTGAGGCATACATGTTTCTCTGCTGAAGGTTTTATTGTGGGGGTCAAACAAACACGAGACCAATACACCTACGACCTACCCCCCCTATACATGCCAATGCAGCATTAGTTTTATAAGGTATCTCACATCAGTTGTATAGTTGGATTGAGTCTAGTAACCAGTGCGCTTGGAGAATCTTTTTGGTGTAAGTTAGAGGCCCAAATGCCCAATTAATACATTTGAATCAGGACCTTAATTTCAGCTTAGTAACTGCGTAGAGACTTGCACTGTAAAAACATTATTCATATGCTGATTATCGACTCACAGTTTCCCTTCAATTTATTTTCTTTTTTCCCAGAGCCCCAGCTTACTATGTCATTTTTACCCTGAATAGTGAGGTTGCAGAGTGATGTTGAAGGCCAGAAAAAATAACTCAAATTAACGTACTCTTCTTGCAATCCGAGTTCTCTGGGGAGAAATTAATTTCCGTGAATCAGGTACTATCTCCTTGAGAATTCTATTTAGCTCCTGCCCGTGATGCTCTTCTACCGCTAAATCTGCTTTCAGCTGTCTAGTCCTTTCTTGAGACTGCATAATAGAATAAGAAATGTCTACTCCAGTGAAAATGGGCTCAGACATAGTAGATATCAGAAGCAAGGGTAGAGAAAGAACTGGAGGAGATCATTCTTTAAAACATCTGGTGTCACAACACAGCAAAACTAGTGTATTAAGTAACCTGCTTTTAAAGTGCTCCAGTCGCAGCTCATCTCTCTAGAAGTGATTGTGTGGATTTGAGATACTCTTTTTATCAAACAGATGAAGGATATGTTTTAAATTTTCCATGTTTTAGCCTTTTGAAAAAAAGAAAGAAGACTGGGACCAATTAAGTGAAAATATGTTGGAAATTGGAATGATAAATAAGATGAAATATATTTGAAAAGTTAGACGTTCTTGAGATCAGGAAAAAGGTAGATTACTTGAAGGAAATAAAAGAAAAGTACATCTAACAAAATGCGACAGAATACAGTATTTTATTTTATGTGGAAAACTAAATAGGAAAATAAACAATGATCTTTTAAATTCTCAGCTCATCTGAACAAATGAAAGAATCCATCCCAACGTTAGCAGTTCAAGTAGAAATAAAATGATTTACCTCCTCAAGTTTTCTACAATATTCCTTTCTAATGTTTAAAACTAAGTCAACAGCCTCAGGATTCAAATTTGGAGGAATATCCGCAGCACTATAGGTTAATATGTTATTAACATTGTCCCTTCGCATAACCTGAATATATAGCCAAAAGTAAGACCAATAAGATATGATTGGCTGCACAAGATATGTAAAAAATAACGGCAACAAAATTGTGACAAATAATGAAGAAAGTTGTTATGCTGTGGTGGAGATGAATTTTGCACCATCAACATCTCCCTCCGCCCGAAAATCATGTTTACACAATTACACTAACATTTTTGAGATGTCTCAAAATAAAGTTTACACTTTCCTACTTCCTATTAAGGAAAACAATATGTGGCATACAACATTTCTCTCTTCTAAATAAATTTCAACCACTCATTTTTCACATTTCAACATTTTTAAAACTTCGTGAAGTCTAACTATAAACATCAGACACAAATCTAAAGCATCAGATAAATGTAACATCACTACATCAGGCGTGCAAATTTGCATTACGACCAATCACAACAAAACTGTTGATGATAGATCCACCATTCCCTTCAGCCCTCATTCTCTACTAAAATGTTACCACAACACTGTTTTCAGCTTAATCTCCCACACTAAATTGTGCAGAAAGCCAATGACTGAGGTAAAAGTCTTCCACAGAAGTATAAAGACATACTGACACTGACACACAGCTCATCATGGATAAGACAGACGACAGATCCATGACACATAACTACAATGAAAGTGAAGTACAATTTCAAATGAAAGTTGAAAATGAGGCCTCACCTAAACAACAACATCAACAACAATAACAACCCAGTAGAATCCCACGAAAGAAGGGTCTGAGAGGGTGTGTGTACGGAAACCTTACCCCTACTTGAAAGGAGAGAGGAAATTAAAAACAAGAATTACTGTAAACAGAACTTAAACATCTAGTGGATATTTTGATGCTCTGTTATTCAGTTATTCATTCAGGCTCATTAGAAGTTTGCTTCAAGCCTTCACTCGTTGATGAGAGGGAGACGCACTTAACTGAAACATAAGCAAAATCATTATCATGTCACTTTAAAGACTGATCTCACAAACTCTAGTCAAGAGTATTTTAGTAATAACTACTCCAACCATCCCAATATGTTGTGCTTGTTTTCCTTTTTTGCATGTCCCATATTATTCTGTTGGTTTGTATTTAGCAAAATTTCACCATTTTTTGGCTTTGGGGTGTGATGGAATAAATCAAAATGGATCTCTAAACTATCTGCGCTTCTCTAATTAATGAAGTAGCAGTTAGTCAAGCAATGCAACTTTCGACGTTGAGCCGGGGGTCTCTTTGGAAACAGCCTCTCTACTTTCAAGTAGGGGCAAGGTCTGTGTACACACACCCTCCCCAGACCCTACTCTTGTGGGATTTAACTGGGTTGTTGTTGTTGTTGTTTGTATTTAGCAAAACATCCTTTGCCAATTGAGTTAAAAGAATCCTTTCTGACAGTATTTTGCCTTTGTGTTAATAAGGGCACATCAAGCTTCCTTCATCTCTTACTTTCTATGAAGTTTTGGGTCGTATATGCACCAATGCATCAAGGGTCTAACAGAAACAGCCTCTCTGTCTTTATAGGGGTAAGGTTGTATATGTCTTCACCCAAGGACCCCAACGGAGTTGGGATTATTCTGGGGTTGTTTCTATTTATAGCAAAGGTTATGTCTTGAATACTGTTTCTCTCCAGTGCAAAAATTTAAACCATACAGTATTTCTATTCTCTTCAAATTTACCACAACAATGGGCGGAAGGCTTTGAGGCACTGGGGTAATGTTGTTTTTTGTTGTATATTGAGACAAAGGAAGTAATGGCTAAGTGGGTTAACCAAGTTGCTTTGACAAATTTTGATGAAAATCTAGGCCTGTAGATAAAAAGCCTCACTTACAATTTACAAAATAGTTTGAGAGAAATCCCCCACAACTAAAAAATCAGAAGACAAGGGCAGAGCAAGAAGAACTAAAGTGATATAAGTTCCACATGCAATGACAGTGGGAGATACCATGCTTAGTACTTACCATAATTCAGTTTCAAAAAGTGATTGGAAACTAGAGTGGGGATTATTATTACAAGAATACAACAAACACTATCAAGATCTTGAATAGCAATTGTAGCACATCTCCCTATAGAATGGAGAGCTTCATATATTATAATAATCCACTACTGGTGCTATCCATATCCAAAAGACTAAATTTTAATTACAATAATAATAAGTTTAGGTAAGAAGCTTGTCGTAAAAGTTGAAATTTTGACATTCAATTCTACATCACACTAAAAAATTGACGTACAAGATGTCACAAATATCAATAAAGGTATGCTTGTTCTCCTTCAGTTAAAATGAAATATATGTAGCACTTGAAAGGGAATCTAAAACATGTCTTCACCTGCTCAGAAGTTGGGATGCTTTTATCATCTGCTTCAGAAAAAGAACTTATTGAAATTCCATCTTCCCCAGTTGAATTGTGTATGCTATACTGGAAACATAAACTTATATTAGAATAAAGGAAAATGAAAAAATATGCCCTTCTACATGTCAGGGAACACATATACCCTTTATCTATTTTTTGGCTCAATAATCTGTTAAAATAAAATTTAACAGCTAAACTGGTCCCTCTATTAACTACTTAATGTTGGGTTAAGTCAGCCCAATTACCGTTAGTATATAATTATATATGAGATGGCCACATCTTAAAAAAAATGCTCTTAACCAAAACAATAAATAAAATTAGAACTATTGATCAAAAGCATAGAACCAATTGTCAAATTGAGAAAGAAAAAGAATTGAGTTTATTGACACTGGTAGTACTCCTGCATCCAGTGTCTACAATGGATATCCTGTGAGCTCTCGGGCATGCTCTCTGCGCTGTTAGAGACTTCTTTGATTGTGTCGTCTAATCATCACTACAGAGAAATCACTCAAATCTCACTCCCCCCTCCCCTCTCTCTTTCTAATATTTTTATTTGCATGTTTTCGAGTGCCAGTTTTGTTGCAAATATCAAGAGATAACACACATCCAACAAAAATGTATAAAATCAACTATTTCTTGTTTCCCAGTATGTGAAGGCTGTCACCAAAAAGGGAGAACAAAAAAAAAGACGGACATGATAAACAAAGATCTAGGTGCCACCTTTTTTCAAGAACCCATTCAATGTTGTATATTTTGGTACGCAAAGTTAACGGCAGGCACTAGTCCAACATATAGTTGATGCCTACACTCTGCGCATTGGAGCTATATATTTTAAAGATGGACGAGATAGATGCTACTAGTAGGTCAGGGAAACTGTTAACATACATTTATTTTAAAGCTAAAAGTTAGCTTTCACAGATTATTGAGCCAACATAGATGAATGGTGCTTGTATATGTGTTCCTCACATATAGTAGAAAGCTATAATTGCTCCTCATCGCATAAATAATGCACGCTAACGCTATGTAAAATGGAATCATCTTGACACCCAAAATGCTACAACTTCTAATCAAGAGCATGGAACTACACTTACATTAGAATCATCTTCTGAAAGCTCATTGTGTTGACTTTGGAGTGCTGCTATTTTTGAGCCAGTTACCCGATCATGTGTAACTGTATCCTTTTCAACTAGCGCAGATCCTATGGAACTTTTAGCAGCATGTCTTAGCTCTCTTCTTTGATTAATAGTTTTTAATAAAAGGGGATCATGCTCCATCTCATTCTGGTAAAACAATAGACTATTAAAGTCATAAATTAAACTATACATAATTTGTAAATGTTAACGAAATAACGTTTCATTGCAACTATACTAAAACGTTCGTGGCAGCAATGGAAAATACTAGTAACGATTGTCAATTGAATATTCATTATGCTTTAAATATGAACCGTGTACTGTTCATTGCTTTTCAAGTAAAAAGCCATCATTTCTAAGCATTGCGGTATAATCCTCTAGGCTCTTGTAAGATGCTCAATTAGTCAATTGATGCCTAATCAGTGTAGGGTTAGGCCAAAACGGAATAGTGATCCTCTCCACCTAAGAGCCCGTAATTGGGTGCATCACCCACCTAGAAAGGAGATCAAAGCATCTGAAGAGAGACTACATAGCCACCTAGGTTACTTTTTAAAACAGTGCTTCTAATTAAGATTCTTCAGGCCTAGATGCTAGTGGTGATCGAAGTCTGTAGTAAACCGGTTTCCTCGGTTCCTATTATCTTTTATAGATACAATAATTAGCAATAAAAGCAGTTACTCTATAGCCAGGAAGAGTTCCATTAATACTCAGCAAAAAACAATGCTCTCCGCTCTCAGACACTTAACTGACCAGTAAAATGCACATTTAAGTTCATCTCATCATCCTAGTGTATGTAAGGAACTTGTACAACAGTAGAAATAGCAATTAAAAAATCCATGTGACTTTCAACTATACACACAAACATATCTTGGAATAGATGAGAAGTCAGAACCTAAACCTCATTAGCTGATCCATAGCGGCCCCTAGACACAGGCCGGCCACGTACGCGAGAAAGGCTCCGTCCGATCCCATTCCTGACATCCCTAGAGCTTCTAATAGTCGATCGCCCTCTGTTATCAACCTCTCTGTTGGTGGACATGGACATTGCAGAATCACGAGCAACTTTACCTTTACTAAATCCATCAAAAAGAGACGTCTCTTTTTCATTTCCAACTTTCCTGTTTTCATCCTGGTCACTGGGCGAAATATTCGAGGTCCAGAACAATGGATTATCTCGCTTGTTAGAAAACTCCGACGAAGCATCTTGTCTAGAGATCCGAGAAACGGCGCTAATGCTTAAGGATCGCCGTCGGAGCGGCTTGGAGGAGGAGGAAGAAGAAGTGGGAGTGGGGTATTCCTTGGAATCATCATTTCTGGTATTCCTGGTTCCCCGTTTGGAAGTAGATTTGAAGGAAGAAGTCGCCATTCCTAAGTCCTAACAGCGCAGATTTGGTGGGAAGACATTAAAACAACGGGGAAGAAAAAACGACGGACTGGTGTGAGGCTTGTGGGGTGGCTTTGTTTAATTCGATTTAAAACTTCTCATTCAAAAAAAACTATTGTAAGGTAGGGGCGAGCAAGGATCGAACTGATCCCGATATTTCCCGAAAAAATCGAGGATACCGAAACTGAAAAATACCGAATCGATAAAGTATCAAAAAAATCGAATCATACCGAATCGAACTGATCCTGATATTTTTTGAAAAAATCGAGGATAGTGAACCGAAAAATACCAAATCGATAAAGTACCGAAAAAAACCAAACTGTACCGAACCAAACGGTCGGTCTCGTATTTTGGAACGGTACGAGGGTACTTTTCATACCGAAATTCACGAACTGAACATATATACTAATATATTATGAAAATAATAATCTTTTTATATTTCTTCATTAAACAAAAAAATTATATAAGCAATTTAGTTTATTTTCATTATGTTTAAGTTGCACTTTAATAAGAGTTTTTTTATTTTCTTGTAGATGAGCATAAGAATATTAACAAAAATTTGAAATAATACTTTGTTATCACTCATTCTCTTTAGTTTATGAAATACTAGATTTGTACCCGTGCCTTGCACGGTCAATAATTTTTTAAAAAAATTCACTGTGAAAATCATAACACAACTATACGTTAATTGATATAGTACATTGAAAGATCGGAGAGAAACGATATACGGTACAAAAAGAAATTATTGCTAAAAAATTAATCTTATAGAGTTGATTGGTGTGGCGATAAAGAAGGGGATCGCGAGGTGATTTGGCATTAGTGTCGAACGGCGTCTCCGACATCCCCATCCCGAGTACCCTGATTGCTTTTATTTATATTATACACTAAAATGGCTAGTTGAATAAAGTACTCCATCCGTTTCCCTTTTTATTTCAATTTTTTCTCTCTCTTCTCAATAACTTTTGTTTATTTATGTGATTTTATTAAGTATTTGATAAAATAAAATATTCTTATCACATCTTGTTTTATAGAATTTTTGACGTAATTTTTAAAAATATAATTTTTACTTTTTTTTATTGATATACCAACTTCTAAATAAAATTATTTCCAAAAGAAAGATATTTTTTTCTTATAAATCTCAATTTGTAATCAAATTAGATACAAAAGAAGTACTCCGTATAATAATGGCACACTTTTCAAAAGATCTGGAAATCTATTATGTTAATGGGTACACTTATCAATGGCATACTTAGCTGGGTAGCTTGTAGTAAATTGATAGAAATGTTTAAAGCACATCTTTCAATAAAAGTAAATAAGTGTCATTAACACATCTGTAAAGTAAAAGCCTACTAAAGCAAGCCTTTACCCACATGCCTCACCCAACCCAAAAGCCTAGCAGTGCAGTCAGCCCACCATTCATGAACATATTACCCGACACAACGTTTTTAGGCGGGAACACTGTTCAGATGTGGCTCTCGTCTTTGTATATGTATAGATAAACTAACTTTTATAAGCATTTTTTGTATTTTATTTTTTCATTTTTAAATTTTTTATCTTTCTTTGGTTAAATATACTTTCAATTTTTCAAAAATAAAAGGTTTTGCTACGATGTAAACTAGGTATGTATATATTCATCCTGATTCGTACCGATACCGAACCATACCGAACGATGCTTCGGGATTGGGATCGGTACAACATAAAATCCCATAATGAATCGAAATATTTTGTACGGTATCAGTACGAGCTAAATACCGTACCATGTTCACCCCTATTATAAGGTGAACAAGAATTTAGTCATTTGAAAATATTCATAGCAAAAAATAGGTTTAAAAATTATTTTGTATATCCTTAACAGTGCACAAATATGCTTCACACTTCTTGCGAATTGGAAATTTTGCATGCATATATGAGAAATTTCTAGATTTTTTCGGCAGTAACTGTCCATGAACAGTTACCTCATTACCGTCACTAGTACAAAGTTTCAGAGCCTGAGTTCTGCACTCAATAATAGCCTAGTGTTTTATCAACCAGTCCATGCCAAGTATAATGTCAAACTCTTTGTGAGGGAATTCAATGAGATCTGCTAGGAATACTTTACCTCGAAGCATCAACTGATAGTGATTATAAATATAATGAAGATGTAAGCTGTGTCCTAGTGGATTTGACACAACCATTGGATACTCCAGAGTTTCCTTAATGATGTAAGCACATATATTTACGCTAAGGTGGACCCAGGATCAATCGATGCAGATATAGTGATATCGAATAAAGTAAACATATCCATGATAACATCACTGGCCTGATGATTAGTACGCCCTTGCATGGCGTGTGTATGAGTTCGTGCTCGACCTTGCTCCTGGTTTGACGCTCGCCTCTTAGGCTGGTTAGATGCAGCCGTGGTACGATGACTCTGATCACGCTCAGCCTATTGGGTAGAGAGAGTAGTCAACACCCCTAGTGCTGCAGAAAAAGTCTCGTCGGGGTTCATTAGATAGTCCTTTCGAAAGTGACCTTCTTGACCACACCCTAGACATAAACCTTGTGTAAATCAGCAATTACCAAGACCCCTACGACCACAGAGTGAACATATGGGATGACGGTACACCATCTTGCTCTTTCCGCTCTTGCTACATGCAGATGTAGATGTAGAGGGGACAGGTCTTGCTCGCTTATCATTGCGAGAATTGCTTGGTGTTGAGAAGGGTCTTTTGATGTTGGGTCCCTCCTTGAGGCGGACTGAACACTTAGATTTTTTGCTAGTGTCTGTTGATAAGCAACTTTCCTTACGAGCTCATTGTTTAATTCAAGTTCCTTATTATAGACATCGTTGATATCTGAAAGTCGGTTTACACCCTAAGAGGGGGGTGAATTAGGGTGTTTGCAAAATTTTTTAATAAAAACAAAAACTTATGCGCAAAGTAGTAGTGGAGAAAGAGCAAGAAAAGTATAAAATATAAAAATATGACACAAGCGATTTTATACTGGTTCATGAACTCCCTACTCCAGTACCTCGAGGTTCCTCCTCAAAGATTTAACCTCCACTAACTTGTTTGGCTTCACTAAGAAGACTCAAACGAGGTTTGGCAAACAACCCTTGCCAATAAGCAAACGAGATTTTACTACGGCTATCTCAACCGTTTACAACCGAAGATTTTAAGGCTATCTTCAACCTTACAATGAGGATTTAAAGGCTATCCACACCTTTTACAAATCAATAAAAGATTGGTGTTGCTTCTCTACCAAAATAATAACAAATATGAATTGGGTAGGAGAAGAACAAAAGATTAAATCAACAACAACAAAAGCCTATAGGCATAATATAAAATAATGAAGCACAAATGCCCTTGTGTGTGAGTGTATAAAAAGATGAAAGCTTTTTTACTCAAAGGAGTAAGAAAAGTAAGAACAAAGCTTTAAGAACACTCAAGAATTAAAGAAAGAGGCTTTAGATTTAATTGAGAAGTTGTTGTGCCTAAAATGAGACTTAGAGGGGGTTTATATAGGAGTTTGGAATGTTAAAATTTGAGTTTTTAACGTTAAATGCCGTTAGGAAGTGATTAGGGGTGATTT